CTTCTAAGCGCGAGTCAACCAGCTGTGCACCACCCTGTTGCGAGAAGCCTTGACGTTTCCACCACGGGTGTAATCAAAGTTTCCGGTCAGCTTCCATTCATCGATGCTATCCATGAGGTTGTCCTTCTGGGGCTCCAACCACGCGTAGTCAGCAGGTTGCAAATGGACTGTCATACTTCCTGGAATAGTGCAAAACAATATTCCTCGAGCACGAAAGTGGCCTTCGACTGCTTAGATATATGACTGCGCGCTCCTTGATGACCGACAGCTTTTCTTCGACGGTGAACTTGCGCTTCTTCATTGGGACTCCAAATTGACAATGGGAGCTCAGCACAAAGACGTCGTCGGGGAAATGTAGACGCTATTAGATTTGTTGGCTTGCGAAAGTAGAACCAACTGATAATCAAATGTGAACGAAGTACGATAGTGAGGTGGGGTATTAGTGCGTCGCTCCTCGATCTAAGTAGTGGGGTACTATTGAAGAGTGGGGCACTAACGCAGTCCCCCACTCAGATGAGAAATTGTTTTTGGGGCATCTTTTTTATTGCATAAATATTGAAAAAAAAACACCATTTCATTCTAAACATATATTTTTTAGGTTAACCGATCGCAAGTACCCCTACTGTGAAATCCATTTTGGGGTTTTAATGTTGCCGATTAATACAATCTATTATAATTTGAGCAAATCGGACGGCTACGAGTACCCGACTTGCTGGACCTGTTGGTATGGTTGACCGAATCTACCAAAGGATGTGGATTTGTGGACAGTTGGTCGTTATTATTTTTGTACCAGATACAAGCATTTGGTCGCGCATGCACCCTCTCCTTACTTTCCCGAGCAAAGAAGGCCTATCAGCTTGCAGATATACATGTAGTAATGTACATGCTGTAAAAAAAAAACTCCTTTAGAGAACGTGGGTTGGCAGCACCGCGTAATCACCATTGATGCAGTCCGAGAGAAAGGTGAAATGCCGTGTCTGATCGTTGTGGGGGTGAGATTTGACGTACCATAGAGTTACCAAGTTTACGGTTCTGTACACATTATATAAATCTACAGGAGGTGATGGGATAATAACCCAATAAGGGTTAGTAAATTTTCTTATTGTGATTCTAGCTATTCTCATTTTGATCGGAGAATTCTCCATTTGATATGTATCTACTTTTTCTGATCCGATGTTTGCGAGAAGTAGGTAGATGTCTTGATACATACAGTGCGTACAAATCTATTTGGAGGATTACGTAAATTTAGTCACCCCGTAATCTCCATTGGTGGCACATAGGTATTATGACTGGTATTGACTGCAGCTCACGTTCAATTTGGCATGTATGCATAATACATTTATCAAGATTAATTACTGGATTCATGACTTTTGAGACCTTGTCTGCCTTAGGGCCTGGTCGGGGAACGATCGTCTTGGTTTTTGATCGTCTTTCGACGATGTGTCGACAAAATCTCTTAAATTTGATTGGCCAGTGGGGGCATCGATCGTCTCAGCAAATCTTCTTCAAACCGCCCAAAATGAGACGAGTAAATCACCAGTCTCACTTTGGAGACGATCGTCTTAGTGGCACAGAATCGCAACAGTGACTCACATGGACTGGGGCGAATGCGTGCGGCTACTGTCGTGGCAGCGGTCACTTCAACGGCAGGAGCTGTTGCCGCGTGTGCTGACGCCGCTGCATGCACTCTTCCCAAGCCTCACGAAAACAATGTTATCAACAGCAGCTTGGTCGCTGCAGCCAGCAGCCTCACCCAAAGCGATGCGTGTGGTCTGGGTTTGCCATTCAGTATCGAGTTCTCGAATGTGAAGTGTACACAACATTTTCAAAACCAAGACGATCGGCGAATCAACCGACCGGATCGGCTCAGGGTTAGGCTGCCGAAGGCGATCGAAACCGAGACGATCGTTCCCCGATCAGGCCCTTAGAGCGGTGCGCGGTGTTTTTTTTTATTTCAAAAGGGTGAAACGGCGCCTTTTTTCTTGGCGGTTTTAAAAGCTCGCAGTCCATGACATCCATCCTTCCGGAAACCTCCATAGTTGCACGACAATGGTATTACAGAGGGTTTGGAGGAGCTAAGCGGTGCTTTATCGTCACGCGATAGAACTACCATGATTCAATGTTTTCCTTCTTCAAATTTGATATGCCAGTCTGGAATGCATGGTGTGAATGTCGTAGATCAAGGCGACAAGGACGAAGACAAGTGCTGTCGGCTTACATCTCCGCAAGGACGACAACTACAACTGCCGTTTAAGTCGCCGTGTCTGGCATTCGTGGGGCAAGTGACGCTCCGTTGAGTGACATCTATTATTAATAATAGCATGCTCGTATTACAGCGGAACTACCCAACTATTGCAAAACAATAATAAATAAAATAAATAATAAAGGAGAAGAAAAAAAAGAATAGCATAAGAATGACCTGTAGTGATTGTACCGTATGCGATCTAAAGGATCTTCGTTAGCTACAAAGCAGGCGCAAGGAGTGCTTGAGGAGTCGCCGCACAAGATCGAACACATTGGTTAGAGATACTACCTAATTAGTTTGTACCGCAACGTCAGTCGAATTATTTATTATACACTATTGTCTGCTATACAAGCGAATGCTAGTTTCGATGCTAGCCACTATCCGCTCAGTGTTGTTTGCTAACACGATAATAAAATTGTATCAATAGTGATCAGCTGGTAGTTGAGCTTTGTTAAGGGCATCACTATGGTACTTCAGCGCGATACAATCGCTAAGATTTATTATAGCAATAGACGAGGTAAACAGTCAAAATCCAAAGCAACACGCGTTTTTTTCCTTCGTTTTTCACGGTTCGGCTCATTTTACAAGTAGAGTATCTTGTACGACAAAAATCCAGAGCTGACGCGCGATGATCGTGTAGAAACTTTACTACTAGTACTTAGTTTGCACTATTGAATGCTTGAATTATTCGTATACGGAGTATCTATTTTTCGTTGCTCTGAAAAAAAAAAACAAATAATAATAGAAGGCCACCGCTACCACCAAACAGACAAAGGCACAATCAACTCCAACCCAAGAGCATTTAATTGTTTAAGTGAACGCTGGCTAGGACTTGAATTCCATGTTTGCGATACCGTTTCATTGAACGTTTCTCCAGTAATTACGTGGATTTTCAGCATTACTTTCAGTAACATGAAAACCGTGTCTCAGTTCTTAGTTCGACTTTTTAACCGATTCGCTGTGGTGCTTAAGCGACTCCATATAAGCTGGAAAATTTTCGCCATTGTCTTTAAACCACTGGTACAACTTCCGGAGGTGTACCTCACTTTTGCCCTCAGCACGAGCGAGATTCTCGATCAAAGCAGCAACTTCAGTGGGGCCTTTATCTTTCCATGAACTAAAATGTGACATCAAGTTTTCCAGACCCTGTCGGAATTTGGCATTGTCACCTCTTTCTTCTTCTCCGTCGTCGTTGTACGCCTGGGCGTTGGAATTACGTAAAACTCGCCTGGCACCCGCCGCGAATGGTTGAATGTTGGTGGACTTGTCCACGTTGAGAGTGGCGCCAGAGAGCGAGGATCTCAATGCAGCCTCGCAGCTTGCTAGCATGGCTGTAACCACAAACAAGAAACTTAGTCGCATTCTTCGATGTTGCGAAACTTGTGCTGGTGTTGATGGGGAAGGAAATGAAAAAGTGAGGTCTGTGCTACCAGCGCACCGAATCCCAAACTCTATGAATAGTCTCCGTGAGATGTATCATTGTCGCGCCAGTGAGACTCTTACTGGCGTGGCAACGATTACGTGCCAGTGGTAGAAAACGCCGTTGTCAATGTGGTTTTGGCCCATCAACATCAAATCTGCCAATGATGTCCTCAGTACCAAGCGAGGCCATAAACAATGGGGACGTTTAGCAGTTTTCCATTTGTTATTCCAGTAATACTTCGTTATTTATCTAAGAAACTGAATAAGCTGAAGCAACGAGCTGCACCACCAGGTTCTATTTTCTTGTCGTGTCCTAAAAGACCACTCGTCCACGGCCATAAGGCATTAGCAATCGTAATTACGGACTGCAAAACGCTCAATTCAATGATTATGAGCCGTCCTTGACTGCCATCCTAACGTTGGTCCAATCGAACCGATTTGTATGCATACAGAATTCCCCGGCAAATCCACAACTGCAGTCGTTGATATTCCTCGAGCAGTCAGTGGTCAGACGCGAAGAGAGATGGGCAGCACTAGACAGGACGCGTACTGAATTA